GTGGGCCAATCAGTGACGCAACCGCTGCCCTGCATCAATCGCACCTCTCATGACTGGCAACTCATGGCACGCATTACCGGTGCCATCCACGGATTCACGGGACCGGTTCGCATTACCGCCAAGGCAGGCACCTCCACGGAATACCCACTTACATTTTCTCCGTGTCAGGAGGGTGAGGTGGCGGTAAGTGAAATCAGTATTTTTGTCTACAGACACAGAAAAACAAGCGTTTACCTTAATCTTAATCTGTTTCAAACCGTCACACTATACCTTTGTCGTATAGATCACTAAATGCTTCCTGTAAGTTCTTTGAACCGTTGAAGAAAACAGGTGCTTCTCTCAACCACAGGTGCACTCCTTTGCCCCATTTTTCCTTGGTACTGGAGAGAGAGGACTTTGACGTGTATTGGCCTGACGATTCGGCTTTTCACTTCAACTCATCATCGAGCAAAGCCGCATTCTCTAAGTATCAAACCCCTTAAGCGTGATGGGCTCGAGAGAGAACCTAAACGTCAAACAAGGCGTGTTGGTCTGTTATCGAACTAAGGAAAACGATCGGTCTTTACCACATCTCCAATAAAAGTAACCTGAAATGGCAGCCACTGAATTATTTTCCCTTTTCATTTGAGCTAGCCTTATCTGCAGTACTGGAAGACATTTGATTTAAAATTGTGTCAAATGAGTCACCAATTACCACAATATAACTGTTACGGCTACGGGGAAAATGTTATGTGGCAAATGTAGCCTATATAGGCCCACTCAAATACCCCTAGTCCCAGCCTTTTTTTCCTGCAAAAACGGTGGTTATAGCGTTTTGGGGGATGGGGAAACAGGATGGGCAAAGAAGAAAATTTTTAGAAGTAACTGCAAGGCGAGAAATGTGTAGTCGAAGTTGCTTCCCGAGGCCGCTGGGAGTAAGTTGTTTCCGCCTGTAAATTGAAGGTGTGCGCGGCGCTTCGCGCCGCGGACTATACTAATCTAACTCCAGAGAGGTATGTTGGGCCTCACGTAAGTTGAAGTGGACGACCTCCTAACCACCATTTCATTTTTTCGGGAG